TTGACATATTCACATATCATTAGAAAGAAACATAACAACCCTTATTTTGGTTATACAATATATATTCTGTTTAAGCATATATCTAATATATTAACTTAGCATCTTATTTTGAATCTCAGTGATATATTTCGTTTTAGACAATTACTCAAATCAAACATAAAAACCTTATTCACGTGCGTATGGTCAAACCATAATTCTTTTTTTAATGATGAGACTAAACCTATACTAACCAAAGTCCTTTTATTAATCATATTAAGCATGTTTTTAATTATCTAGATACTTGTGGACATTCTGATGCTCGAAACAAACCCCTTTTTTTTTTAATGAATCGAAAATAATTTATTTTTAATAGCCATTATGTGTAAACTATAATCGAGTGTGGTTCTTATGAGAAAGAAGCTATGTATGTAAACGTTAAATCAAAATACTATGACCAATGCTCATATGCAAACAATTATAGACATTGTTTCTTAAATAGTAATCTGAAGGAAAATGGGAAATTGAGCTGTATAGCTACAAAACAAAGCATAATTAAATATTTAACCAAAAGAAAAAGTACTTTCATTATTTCTATAATATATACTATATTACTCTTAGCATTCGGTTGATCAAATATCAAAATATCTTCTTTTCTTTGTTTACCAACCTACCTACCACCACTCTTCTTCCATCTCTATCTCCTTTTCATCCATCACCGTATCATCACCATTTATACTGCGTTTTATATTTATCATCTCTCTTTAGGCACTTTTTTTTCTATAATCTATATTTATTTTTTTATAATCATTATCACTTCATTCATATTCACCTTCATCAATGATTCACCATCACCATAACCACCACAACCATTTCCAAATCCAAAATCTTCATTTCTGAAATCTACAGACCATGACAGCGTTACGGTCAAGGCGTCCTTGTAAATTCTCGGTTGTACTATGCCATTTGAACAGTATGTACTATGTTATTTCGATACTATTCTATTTTAATAATGCTTCATACTATGTACTATGTAGATAATTTGATATTTGGATTTGAGTTTATATTTCTTTTTAGGGTCTAATGATTAATATTTTGGGTTTAATTTATAGAAGATTTGGGTTGACATTGGGATAATCATTACTTACTTTCTTGCTACATAGACATTTCAAAATTTGAAATAATATGTACTATACCATTTCGTTTGTTACTATTCTATTTTTATAATGTTTTTGTTATATTCTATGTGCGTATTTTGATATTTGGGTTAGAGTTTATATTTTTTTTTATGGTTTAGTGATTAGTGTTTTAGGTTTGGTTTATGAAATGTTTAGGTTGGCGATGAAGGTAAATCCTAGAATTATAGACTAATATGAACTATACCATTTAACATGTTCTATTCTATTTATATAATATTACCATAATCACTATCATGGATGCTATAAACACCACCACTCTTACATCTTCCATCTCCACCACTTATTTTCCATCACCGACGATACTCTCATCACCAATGTCACACTGTGCTTTCCATTTATTATATCTTTAATCACAATTTTTTTTATAATCAATATTTTTTTTCGGGTTTATATTTTTTTTAAGGGTTTAGTGATTAGTATTTTGGGTTTATTTTAATGGAAGGTTTGGGTTAACTTTGGAATAAGCATTACCTCATTCTATGTAATAGTAAACATTTCAAAACTTGAACATTTTTCTATACTATGTTATTTCGTTTGTTACTATTCTATTTTGATTATGCTTCCTAATATGTAAATGTATTTTGATATTTGGGTTAGGGTTTATATTTTATTTTAGGGTTTAGTGATTAGTGTTTTGAGTTTAGTTTATAGAAGGTTTGGGTGAATATTGGGTAAGCATTACCTTATTCCCTATAATTATAGACATTTCAAAATTTGAACAAAATGTACTATATTATTTGTTACTATTCTATTTGCATACTATTAATATGAACTATTCCATTTAACAGGTTATTCTATTTAATCTGTTTATCTTCTTCCATAACATTATCTCTTTCGATCATGGCAGTCATAATAATCCTTTTTCACAATAATCCTTATGAAAGATCACTGCTTCATTTGGAGTGACAACCCATGTTTCACCACTATTCACACTTACTGTTGCGATAGCCATTTATTACTGCTGTGGTGCCGTAATAATCACCAGCGTCATTTCAATTTCTTTGTAAATTTATAGATCACTATTTTTTTGTATTACTGGCAACCGAGTAAAAAAAGGACAAAACTGGGAAAAAATAGCATAAATGCTATGAGATCTAATAATTTCACAAGGAAAATTGTCAGAAATAGCACTTTCAATATACCACTTTTCAACTTTACACTAACCAACTTTACCACTAAAATTTTAATACTCAAAATACTATTAAAATTTAGGGTTTAGGGTTTTGGGTTTAGGATTGATAGTTTAGGGTTTAGTGTTGATATTTTAGGGTTTAGGGTTTATTTTTTAGGGTTTAGAGTTTATGGTTTAAGGTTTAGAATTGATATTTTAGGGTTTAGGGTTGATTTTTAGGGTTTGGGGTTTATTTTTTAGGGCCTAAAGTTTAGAATTGATGTTTTAGGGTTTAGGGTTAATATTTTATTTAATATTTATTTTATGTATATATATAAAGAACCAGTATATAAGAGTCTTTTATCCTTTAATAAAATGTGTATTTTTGAAAATATTTCTTTATTGATGGTAAACATGAAAAGTGGTACTACCAAAGTGGTATAATTGAAATTCTCCCATGTCACAATCAATGCTATATTCTTAATTTTGTTCACAAATATGTCTATTTGACCAATAAACCCACATAAAAAGTGTTTAACTACTGATCCATTTATGAGAGTGTCATCATTGATTCGTGGTAGTACAAGGAGTTGGAACACAAAGTTACTTGATGTTATGTTTTCTCATGAGGACAGTCTCCTAATTCAAAGTGTTGGATTATCGGATTTCGCGACTCAAGACTGTATTATATGGCCATATACTAAAGACATGAAGTATTCAGTTAAGTCCGGTTATTGGTTTGCAACTCATGATTATATTGAAGAATTAAATATCAATCCTCCACAAGGTTCGTTGATATTGAAGAAGAAAATTTGGAACCTCAGAATTTTACCGAAGATACAACATTTTTTGTGGAGATTGATTTCAGGGGCCATTTCTACTTATGCTCAACTATGTTCACGAGGTATTCAACTAGATCCTACTTGTCAAAGATGTTGTGTAGAAGATGAAACAATAAACCATGTTCTTTTTAGATGCCCGTATGCTATTGCCACATGGAGATGCTCAAATCTACCGATTCATAATCGTTTCACGTCTAGCTTGGAAGAGAACATTTCATTACTCTTTCAGTTTTTGGATGATAACGGAGAAAACAGAGAGGTTGGGTGTCTATCGTTTTGGCTAGTATGGTATATATGGAAATCGCGTTGTGAATTCTTATTTAATAAAAGAAATGTTCAACCGATTATTGATGTCAATAAGGCGTTTCATGCTAACTCTGAATGGATAGAATCTGTGCAGGATCAGCGGCTTCGTCCACCACAACATTCTCAAAGATCTTCTCAATGGGAGCCTCCACCTACTACTTGGTTAAAGTGTAATTTTGATAGCAGTTTCTCTAAGAACAATGAATATACGAGTAGTGGTTGGATTGTGAGAGATGAAAATGGAAACTTTGTGTGTGCTTCCTCGTCTAAGATAAGAACATCATTGATTAATGGATCTTTAATGGCTGAAGCATATGCGTTTTTGATTGCTTTGCAAAATGTATGGATTAAAGGTTGGAGAAAAGTTTGGTTTGAGACTGATAATCTGGAGCTAGCTACAATCATCAATGGAAAGGGATGGCATATTGATTTGGGTAATGTGTTATTTGATATACGCTATTGGATGCAGAAACTGCCGGATTGTTCAATTGGCCATGTACATAGAGAAAAGAATCAAGCTGCAGATATTATTTTAAAGAAGATGTTGCAGAAAGATGTTCTATTTTGCTGTTTTAATTATCCTCCTGTTTGGTTAATTGATTTCTTGTATTATCCGTTTACAGTTTGATTAATAAAGTTCTAATGTTGTTAAAAAAAAAAGTGTTTAAATTTAAATAAAAACTAATATCTAAGTTTTTTAAATTGTAAAATAACCGTTTAAAAACGCTAATTTTAAATAAACCGTTTAAAAGATTTCACGCAAAGCGCGAATTACAAAGCTAGTATTCATTAAATCTTAAGCCATATTAGCCCTACATTCAAAACTCGACTAATTATTAGCCATGAATTTTGTGATTGAAACCATATTTTGTAACTATTCAGTTAATATCAAATAAAATTTTGCCAAATAGTTAGTAATATCGTTCAATATATATCTCCTAAATCGTGTTCATATCAACATGTATATCACCCATTTATTGGTTACAAAGTATAGATATATTTTTTTACTAAAATAATATTTGGTATATTCTGCACAAAGAAAGCTGAATGTTATAGCATAAACATAAACTATTTTTTAAATCCCTTTAATCCAATCAAAATTATAACATTGGCAGAAAAAAAGTTAAATTCTTTGTTAGATTTAGAAACGTACACTTGTGTTTGTTTCTGAAAAAAAAAATCAATTCGTATACTTTTGGGCACAAGATAATTGAATTACTAATTAACAATGATCTATTTAATATATCGAAATACTATATTGATCCACTTTAGTATAAAATAATTTCTGTATTTATGTAAAGCCCAAGCTAAATTTATATATGTTTGAATACATTACATTGAAACTGATGTTTTAATAATATACCTTCAAATCTAACATATTAAAAACAAAATTCGAACATGTGGGCACAAAATGCTATCCTTTAAATGTACAAAAACATGTGGGAATAAGCTAAAGGATTTGGGTATTGTCAATATGAAAACTATACACTCTATCAACAAAGCTTTCATAGCTCAGTTGGTTAGAGCACCCGTTTAGTAAGCGGGAGGTCTTGAGTTCAACTCTCAATGAAAGCAACTAATCCTATTTTTTATTTCTTTTTTGTTTTTACCAAAATTTGTTTATTGTAAAACTCTCGAACGCTACCCCCACTGCCCACTACTTTCGACGACTTTTATTTTTAGTTCCTCTCCTTTTGCAATCTCGCCGCCGTCTCCGACTCTCTCGTTGCTATTGTTTCTTATTTTCGGTACGTTTCTCTCTCGTTTTCTTCTTCTCCCCCCTAGATTCCATAGATTTTCTCGCTCAAGGCCGATGGTGAAAATGGCCCCTTTTACCGTTTCCCGAGTTCATTTTAACTTCTAGCAGGGAACGTGTTCGACGAAATGTCTCATAAGAGTATCTCTTAGATTCACAACATAATGCTCTGTGATTTATGATTGAGCTTCTAATTAAAAACCCTCATTTTCATGTATTCACCAAGTGTTCCCGTCGAACTGTACAAACTTTAAGATTCGTCTGGATCTAATGCTGATATTTAGTTTTCGAGACAGAAAGTTCCTGTCTTTAGAGACTAACGTTAAAGAAACTAGGACCCTAGTGTGTGAAGAACAATCGCTGCTTAGAGCTTATCCAAGTGACATAGAAATCTTAACATTTTACCCAAAAAAAAAAAAAAAAAAAAAAAAAAACCGTAATTGCCTACTGTGTTCCAGCTTCAAGTTTATACCTTTGTCTTTAAAAAAAAATTATCTATGAGTCTTGAGCTTGAAATGTTTTTGTTTAATTGTTATTAACATACAATGTGTTTTCTTGCTTTTAGCAGGTTTTTGTTCTGAAGGAAAGATGGCTAGTGGTAGCCTGAAAAGCCTTGTAACATCAGCAGTTACTGTTGGTGTGACGGAAGCTAGAGCGAGGATATTTGGACATATGCTTAACCCAACAGGACAGAGGTCTTCTCATAAGATCTTAAGGAAGAAGCTTTTTGGTGATAAGGTTGCAGAGTGGTATCCATATGACATTAAGAATGAGGATCCCAATGTCTTGGCTAGAGAAGAAAAAGAGTAACTCTCTATAAACTTCTTGTTTTATTCATTTACTTTTCCCTGTAGTGCATAACGGGTGTAGTCAGCGACACGTTATCAAGCTCTACTTCAATTGCAAAGTAGACTGAAGCAGTGCCTAGATAACATATTTCCATAAGCAATGCTTCAATTGCAAATAATGTATATGTAATTTGTGTGAGTTGAGTTGAGTTGGTGGGATAGTTGATAGGCCTTAGGCTAGTATAGTGTAAGAGAACTGTAATCATCCAAGTGGTTGATGGCTAACAGCGTAAAAGGATATTTAGGCGCAAGTGTTGAGCATTTTGGATTGATTTAGGAGCTTATATAATGTTCATCTTTGGTGGTTGTTTGCTTCAGTTTGTTCTCTGGCCGTGTCTTCCGTAATTGATTCAGAGAGTCAACAATCAAAGGGAGAATCATTTCTGGTTGCTCCGTAGTGTATGGAATTGAGGGCATGAGAAAGCACGATTTAATATCTACAAGTCTTATAACTTGAGAGGATTATGTTATGTGAGGCTTGTGCAGAGCTGTGTTCTTGCGTTGCACCAAAGTAGCTTTAGGACAGTAGAATCGATGTTCTCTTATTTTGTGGAAAATAGTTTTTTTTTGTCTATAAGTTTCACTTAGGATTGCCTTTTAATTGGAGTTTTGTATGTTGTTTATAGGCGCTTATCGAAGCTTGAGATGTTGAAGCGTCGTGACAAAGGACCACCAAAGAAGGGTCAAGGAAGACGTGCTGCGAAGCGTAACAAGTAGAGAAAAGTAGTGATTGTAGCTTCCAGACAAAAAAAAGCTCAGCACTTTCAGTATCAGATCATTTTGGTTAATAATGTCAACTAGAAGTTTCTCCATTAGTGACGTCCTCTCTACATTAAAATTTCATGCTTAAACTGTGCAATTAGTTTACAATGATCCCACTATGCTGAGACAAAGTTGAAAGATATTTGCTTCCCTTTTGATTTGATATCAACATTTGAAGATGACTTTTGTTTCTTTATTTCTTTCTCTGCTTTTCTTTATTCTTCACTCTTTAGGATGGGCAAGCTGATATACTTGTGTTGTCTCATAACTCATGATCGTGGATTCAGTTCTAAAACTATGCGTATGAGTTGGCAATGACAAAGAACATGTCTTCCACCAATGTTACTTGTTGCCATTTTTTGCGTAAAAAGTTGATAACATTCCACTGAACTGTAGTTTTGGCAAAGTTAAAAAAGAAAAGAATTTTGAGAGGGTGGTAGGTGTAACCTGTCTGCTAATATATAATCCACGTGTGGTAAATAAACCAATAAGAAACATGTGGAGCTTCTTGATCGTTCATTCTATTACCACCACTCCCACCTAAACAAAAAGATTCGTCAAAGTCTTGTAGGACTGTTTCAGAGAGAGTCGGCGCATAGAGATAGAGATGGAGGAAGCTCTGAAGATTCAATCTTTGTTCATCTATCCTATCAAATCTTGCCGTGGAATCTCCGTCCCTCAGGCAACTGTCACTCAGACTGGTAAAAAACTATAAGAACAAACTTCTTCTCTTTTGTAACAACAAATAATATGAGAAAATTGCTGTTTAGATCATTTTTTTGATTTCTTGGATTTGGTGCGTAATATGTTATGGGTTTGATGATTCCGGAATAAGGTTTTATTTGGATAGAAAATAGAACAGAACTTTTGAGAAAGTGAATAGTTTTTTTACCACAAAGAAAATGCTACTAGATAGGCTAAAATCTTGATAAAATAGAAAGATTTAATGAGTATTAGTGAGCGAATGTTAGACTTAATCTGTTGATATGCAGGATTTCAGTGGGACCGGTATTGGTTAGTTGTGAACTACAAAGGAAGAGCATACACTCAAAGAGTTGAGCCAAAGCTTGCTCTTGTTGAATCTGAGCTGCCTAAGGAAGCCTTCTTTGAAGATTGGGAGCCAACCAAAGACTCATTTTTAGGTAATTAGTTACTCTGTTCAAAACTACATAAACTCTTGTCTGAAACGAGACTTGAATTGAGAGTATTGATTGTTTCATTTTTTTGGCAGTGGTAAGAGCTCCAGGTATGAGTCCGTTAAAGATTCCATTGACTAAACCTAGCTCTATAGCCGAAGGTGTGTCAATGTGGGAATGGTCTGGCTCTGCGTTTGATGAGGGAGAAGAAGCTGCTAAATGGTTTTCAGATTATCTTGGAAAACAAAGCCGTTTGGTTCGGTTTAATAAAGGTTTAATTTCTTATTGGTCTGAATCTTTTTTCATTTTGCAACAGATTTGATATGAACAAAGTTGATCAAGTTCTCTATTGATACAGAAACTGAAACCAGACCTTCACCTCCTGAGTTTGCAGCAGGCTACTCTACAACATTTGCAGATATGTTTCCCTTCTTGTTTGCATCTCAGGTCAGCCATTAATGATAGTTACAATATCAGATTAGTGATTTGATCTTTTATTTTCTTGGTTGATGTTCTTAGGCTTCTTTAGACCAACTGAATACACTCCTGCCAGAACCGGTGCCTATTAACCGTTTTCGACCCAAGTAAAATACTATCATTAATCCTGAGTTCTTAATCTCTTTGATGATGGATGCTGTTTCGTTTATGATCCTTTTGGTGAAGATCTTTTGTTTCTTTTGTAGTTTTCTTGTCGAGAATTGTGATCCTTTTGGTGAAGATCTTTGGGAAGAAATCAAGATTAACGAATTAGTCTTCCAAGGAGTTAGGCTATGTAGCCGTTGCAAGGTGAATATCCAACACTCAGATTCTCAGCTCTGAGGCATTTAAAAAATTGTTACTGTTGTTCTTTCAGGTACCACTTGTGAATCAAGAAACCGGTGTTCCAGGTGTAGCAGAGCCAACTGAAACTCTGTTGAAATTCAGATCAGACAAAGTTTTAATGCCAGACAAGAAACCACGTGGAAAGGTTAGATATTGTCTGATTTTGTGTGGGAAGAGACTTGTAGGATTCACTCTTGATGCTAAACCGATTCAATAAAATTTTGGATTATGATGACAGGTTTTCTTTGGTAAGGAGATGGTATGGAACTGGAACATAGGCAACAGTGAAGGCAAAGGCAGCAAGACAATCAAAGTTGGTGATACCATCTCTGTTCTAAAGAAGATGCCTTCCAGAGCTGAAGCAGCTGTTTAACTCAAAAACATAATTGCTTTCTTTCCTTCCTCCTTGTGTTGTCTAAACTAAAGTTAAGATAGATGCATGCTTGCTTGCTCATCTGAATCAAACAAACTTCACTTTTTCTGAAAGACACATCTTGTTGAATGTGTGATATGTGTTTAAACTTTGCAATAATACTACTGTATATTAGAATAGAGAGGTCACTTATAGAACATCTCAATAGCAATCACTCAGGCAAAGAATTAAACACTAAAAGAATATTCTCTGATATTGAAGAAAAAGATACATTAAAAGGATCTTTTCTTAAGACAAAGTTCTAAAACATGAATTATACTGTTCTTAACTGTGCAACAGCAATCAAATCAAATCAAGACACGAACACAACTGAATAAACCTAAATAGGACGACTCTCTATAACAACTGAACTCAGCAGATCAAATCTATAGCTAGGTCTTGGAACCATCACTCTTTTTCTTCTTCCATATTCTCTCATAAACATTNTCTTAAGACAAAGTTCTAAAACATGAATTATACTGTTCTTAACTGTGCAACAGCAATCAAATCAAATCAAGACACGAACACAACTGAATAAACCTAAATAGGACGACTCTCTATAACAACTGAACTCAGCAGATCAAATCTATAGCTAGGTCTTGGAACCATCACTCTTTTTCTTCTTCCATATTCTCTCATAAACATTATTGTATCTTGTGACGGAAGGAGGACATCACAAAAGGATGTTTCAACAGATCTGCAGCGGTGGCTCTTTGCGAGGGATCCAACGCCATGCACCGCTGCAAGAAGTCGTCGGCCAGCGGAGACACAAGTATAGGAAGCCTCCACTTGTAATAGCATTCTCCCATCTTCACAGAATAGCCTCCAAACATCTCAACCACAACACACCCTAGAGACCACATGTCAACAGCCGATTCAATCGTCTCCACTCTGTTGGGTCCCAAAGACTCAGGGGGCATGTACGCCTTTGTACCACCAGACAAGGATCTTGCATCCATACAAGAAGGCTCCTTGGACAAACCGAAGTCAGCGAGCTTGAGTTCCCAAGGCTCTCCAACAGCCTTGGAAGGGAAGATGAGAACGTTGGCCGGCTTGAGGTCGCAGTGAACGTAGCCGTTAGAGTGAAGAGCCTCAAGTCCTTGAAGAATCATATGCGCAGCGCGTCGGATCATAACCTCAGGGATTGGTTGGCCATTGAAGTTGGAGATGAAGTTGTGGAGAGTGCCTTTGGATGCAAACTCCATGTAGATGCAGCAACGGTCGAGGTTGGTGCTTATGTGAAGATTAGGGTTTGTGGTTTGGACGATGCGTGGATGGTTACGGAAACGAAGCATGATCCTATGCTCTTTCTTGAGACTCCCCATGTATGCTATCGGAGTTGATTTCTGAGCTTGTAACTGGTTTTGGGAGTCTTTCATGAGAGCGACGGAACCGAAAGCGCCTTGGCCAAGAAAAGAGACAAACTCTAGTACTGAAGAAGAAGATTGGTCAACAGCATTCGAAGCTTTAATGCTGTTGTTGTTGTTGTTGTTGTTGTTGTTGTTCTTGTTGTTGTCTTTCATCATCTTCATCGTGGTCATACGCTGTAGTAGTTAGGGTTTTTGACTCTGATTACTTGTGTTTTGTTTTAGGTTTGAGAACCAAGTAATCGAATCAATGATGCTTCACAGAGGAGTCTCTAGCCTTCTTATTTATATGAAGCTACTTGACTAAGTTGTTCACTATCTTACTTTTTTTGTTTTGATCAACATTATTTACTTTTTTTTTTCATGTTTATTTTTCTTTTTAGTTGCTTATTTCCTTTTTTGGTTATTCCTCGATTCTAAAGTCAGATTTGCATTCTTATTTATCTGATGGGTCTGTCATACGGTGTTTACTATTTTTTTGGTTGTTGTTATCTATCATGTTTAATTTCCTTTTTAGTTGCATCTTTCCTTTTATCTTATTTCTCAAAATTTAATTTGATTTTATACTGAATTTTGATTGGTCACAGTTTATAACCAACAGAGTGGCTAGTTGAGTTGGTTCGGTTTACTTTCCTTGTTTTCTTTATTTTTTTGCTCAACATCAACTATGAATTAACCATGAAAAGTTTCATACATTAGGTTTTTCAGTCTCCAGAATAGACTTCAACTGGCACTAAAGAATACAACTTAGGGACATTATATTCAAGAATGAAAAAACCTCCTTTGCTATCCTTACCAGCTGCCTTATTTCTTTCCCTTGAGTCATACACCATCACAAAATCTGTAGCCTTCATTAAGGGTTGGGTGAAGTCCTGGATGATTGATTGTAGTTTAGGCCATACATCTTCTTCTCCTCTAATCATCCAAATCAGCACCTGTGAATCAGATTCCACTATAACCTTTTTGTAGCCAAAGCTCACCATTGTTGTGACCGCCCATCTTAAAGCTTCCGCTTCAGCTTCTATCGCAGACCCCAAATCTTGCATCTTTCTCGCCCCTGCCCATAACAACTTGCCTTCCTTATCTCTTCTCAACCAACCAATACCTCCTCCTTCTTTGTGGTTCCAGGAACCATCAACATTGCATTTAATCAAAAAAAGAAAAACATTGCATTTAATCCATTGGTTACTTGGTGGTTTCCAAACCTTTGAGATGGAACCATCGTTGGAGATAAAACTCAGGAACAAAGATATAGTTTACTTGTATTCAGTTGGTCTAAAGAAGCCTAAGAACATCAAGCAAGAAAAAGAGGAAATGCATATTATATAGTTTCTGGATTATTAGAAGTATGATATTGCCTAACCTGAGATGCAGCCATAAAGGGAAACGTATTTGCAAATGTGTAGTGTAGCCTGGTGCAAACTCTGGAGGTGAAGGCCTAGTTTCAGTTTCTGTATCAAATTTAAGAAAAACTTGACATCAACTCTATGCATCCAAATCTTTTGCAAATGAAAGAATCCACAAGAACAGCAAAAGGCCAAAACCTTTGATTAAACCGAACTAAACGGCTTTGTTTTCCAAGATAATCTGAAACCATTTTGCAGCTTCTTCTCCTTCATCAAAGGCAGAAACAGACCATTCCCACATAGATACACACCTTGAGCCGTTGAGCTAGGCTTAGTCTTTGGGATCTTTAACGGACTCATATCTGGACTCAGACAAACATTTGAGTCTCATTTGGGACATAACTTTTTGTCATTCTTTGGCTCCCAATCTTCCAAGAAAGCTTCCTTTGGCAGTTCTGATTCGACAAGAGCAAGCTTTGGCTCAACTTTTAGAGTGTATGCTCTTCCTTTATATAGTTCACCACTAACCAATACCGTTTCCATTCAATCCTACATATCAATTTCCACAATCATTTAGATCCATACCAAGACAACTTCATAGTCAAAAACATATTATTACTATTATGTTCTTGATTACCAGTTTGAGTCACGGTTGCTTGAGGACAGTGATTCCACGGTAAGATTTGATCTGATAGAAAGATTGACCATCTTCAGTGCTTGGTCCTCCATTTTCTCTCTCAATTTGATAATGACGGTAGACAAAGCTTGTAGTTTAGTTGAGTGTTTCAAGAGTTGTACTTCTCTTTGAAAACACCAACCATATATAACATTCCTTTCCTTTCTAACTTTTTCTGAATTCAGTGACTGTTATTTTCCACCATAAACAAGAAGAAAGTTGATATCTAATCAATACTATTATATGAAACATATTTTTTTAGTATCTTTCCGAGATGCATTTAAGTGTGCCATTCTTAAAACTGTTGGACCATAATTTCTATTGAATAATTGCAGCATATACTAATACAAAACAAAACTTGTAAAGAAAAAACAAGAAACGATATGTACCTATATTACACGAACCAGTTGTATGAAGCTAATGAACCAAATCTTTGCATTGTACTCTCATACAAGAAATGACAGAGAAGGAGATTGCACTTTGTGTACAACAAAAACGATCGAAACTTGGAGAGGAAGTCACTACATCTACTGTGATCAATCAAAAGTCAGCTTAAAATCAATTTAAATTTTGAGAAATAAGATAAAGAAAGATGCAACTAAAAAGGAAATTAAACATGATAGATAACAAATACCAAAAAAATAGTAAACACCGTATGACAGACCCATCAGATAAATAAGAATGCAAATCTGACTTTAGAATCGAGGAATAACCAAAAAAAGGAAATAAGCAACTAAAAAGAAAAAAAAAACATGAAAAAAAAAGTAAATAATGTTGATCAAAACAAAAAAAAAGTAAGATAGTGAACAACTTAGTCAAGTAGCTTCATATAAATAAGAAGGCCTATAGACTCCTCTCTGAAGCATCATTGATTCGATTACTTGGTTCTCAAACCTAAAACAAAACACAAGTAATCAGAGTCAAAAACCCTAACTACAGAGTATGACCACGATGATGATGATGAAAGACAACAACAACAACAACAACAACAACAACAACAACATTAAAGCTTCGAATGCTGTTGACCAATCTTCTTCTTCAGTACTAGAGTTTGTCTCTTTTCTTGGCCAAGGCGCTTTCGGTTCCGTCGCTCTCATGAAAGACTCCCAAAACCAGTTACAAGCTCAGAAATCAACTCCGATAGCTTACATGGGGAGTCTCAAGAAAGAGCATAGGATCATGCTTCGTTTCCGTAACCATCCACGCATCGTCCAAGCCACAAACCCTAATCTCCACATAAGCACCAACCTCGACCGTTGCTGCATCTACATGGAGTTTGCATCCAAAGGCACTCTCCACAACTTCATCTCCAACTTCAATGGCCAACCAATCCCTGAGTTTATGATCCGACGCGCTGCTCATATGATCCTTCAAGGACTCGAGGCTCTTCACTCTAACGGCTACGTTCACTGCGACCTCAAGCCGGCTAACGTTCTCATCTTCCCTTCCAAGGCTGTTGGAGAGCCTTGGGAACTCAAGCTTGCTGACTTCGGTTTGTCCAAGGAGCCTTCTTGTATGGATGCAAGGTCCTTGTCTGGTGGTACTAAGGCGTACATGCCCCCTGAGTCTTTGGGACCCAACAGAGTGGAGACGATTGAATCGGCTGTTGACATGTGGTCTCTAGGGTGTGTTGTGGTTGAGATGTTTGGAGGCTATTCAGTGAAGATGGGAGAATGCTATTACAAGTGGAGGCTTCCTATACTTGTGTCTCCGCTGGCCGACGACTTCTTGCAGCGGTGCATGGCGGTGGATCCCTCCCAAAGAGCCACCGCTGCGGATCTGTTGAAACATCCTTTTGTGCTGTCCTCCTTCCGTCACAAGATACAATAATGTTTATGAGAGAATATGGAAGAAGAAAAAGAGTGATGGTTCCAAGACCTAGCTATAGATTTGATCTGCTGAGTTCAGTTGTTATAGAGAGTCGTCCTATTTAGGTTTATTCAGTTGTGTTCGTGTCTTGATTTGATTTGATTGCTGTTGCACAGTTAAGAACAGTATAATTCATGTTTTAGAACTTTGTCTTAAGANAATGTTTATGAGAGAATATGGAAGAAGAAAAAGAGTGATGGTTCCAAGACCTAGCTATAGATTTGATCTGCTGAGTTCAGTTGTTATAGAGAGTCGTCCTATTTAGGTTTATTCAGTTGTGTTCGTGTCTTGATTTGATTTGATTGCTGTTGCACAGTTAAGAACAGTATAATTCATGTTTTAGAACTTTGTCTTAAGATCCTTTTAATGTATCTTTGTCTTCAATATCAGAGAATATTCTTTTAGTGTTTAATTATTTGCCTGTGTGATAGCTGCTATTGAGATGTTCTATTAATTATAAGTAAGAATCTAATATACAGTAGTATTATTGCAAAGTTTCACTAGTCAAACTGAAACATATATCACACATTCAACAAGATGTGTCTCTCAGAACAAGTGAAGTTTGTTTGATTCAAATGAGCAAGCAAGCAAGCAACTATCTTAACTTTAGTTTAGACATAACAACAAGGAAGAAAAGAAAGCAAATATGTTTTTGAGTTAAACAGCTGCTTCAGCTCTGGAAGGCATCTTCCTTAGAACAGAGATGGTATCACCAACTTTGATTGTCTTGCTGCCTTTGCCTTCACTGTTGCCTATGTTCCAGTTCCATACCATCTCCTTACCAAAGAAAACCTGTCATCATAATCCAAAATTTTATTGAATCGGTTTAGCATCAAGAATAAATCCAAGTACAAGTCTCTTCCCACACAAAATCAGACAATAGCTTTGATAATCCATCAAGCGTTGACTCAACTTTTTGAGTGTATACTCTTCCTTTATAGTTCACCACTAAACAATACCTACCGGTCCCATTCAAATCCTACATATCAGTTTCCACAATCATTAATTTAGATCCATACCAAGACAACTTCATAGTCAACAAAATTTTATTACTATGCTCTTGATTACCAGTTTGAGTCACGGTTGCTTGAGGGACAGTGATTCACTGCACAACAAGATGTAATCGGGAAAATGAACAAATTATAAACATAGTTGTGTTGTGTAAACATACCTGCCTTCAAAACAAAGTAAAGAGAGATATATACTTCAATTGTTCTGTGATTCACCTTGTTGAAAGTGTGATTTGGTTTGAATAGTTCTCAGCAAAGTAAACCAAAATGGGCCACTGAAACTCTTTTTTACTCATAAGAACTAGGAGAATAAGAAGAAAGGGCCAAAATGTGCAATAATACTACAATACATCAGATTCATACTTAAGACTAGTCTCTCTTTTATTTTAACATTTCAACTTATCAGACTCCAAAAGCTGTTGAACAGCAACCAAATCAGGAAGCACAATAGCTCCAGCTTCCCTCCAGTCTTTAGCAGCTTCTGTCTTAAACCTATCAAGCAACAAAGCATGCATCCCAATACTCTTTGCCGGAACATAATCTTTACGCATACTATCTCCAATATGCAAAACCTCTTCAGGAGCAATGTTCCCAGCTCTCTCTAACGCCAACTTGTAAATTCTCGGATCTGGTTTCTCTACCCCTTCAATACCAGAGAACACACCAAAATCCCACTCTCCCTAAAATAAACCAATCAAATGAGAAAACTTGAGAGTCAACTTGTGAATCACACACAATGAGTTCAAACTTGTTAACTAACTAACCTTGTTCAAACCTAAGGCAGGTAAAATAACTTCTTGATATCGATACTCAGCGTTGCTAACAAGTCCAACTATAAGACCTTTCTGGCGTGCCCATCTCAAGAAAGGTCGAGAATCTTGAAACACAGAGTAAGGTGCAGCAGAACCAAACGTTGAATAGATTCGTTTAAATACTTTCTCAAACGTCTCCTCATCATACTCATATCCAGCCTAATTATAATATACCAAAACCCTTTTAACACCAAAGTAAGCAACACACATTACACTAACATAAAAAAATCTAAAGAATCAAATGAAATAAACCTTGACAAATGAATCTCTGACAACGGTTTTCCACCAAACAACGTTTGGTATTTTAGCAGAGAAACCAAAACAAGGATACTTTTGAGCCATGTCTGTGTAAGCAAGTTTGAAACCTTCGTGGACACGTTTATAATCAGGACAGGGCAAGCCAATGGCTTTAGCAGCCATACAATAGTAATCACCAAGCTCTCCTTTGTAAGCTATGAGTGTGCCTGTAACATCTACTGTGATACACCGTAACTTGGATAAAAGAGACATAGCTCCTCCTCCTGTCATATTACAAAACTGTTAAAAAAAAACACAAAAGGGTGATCAGTTTGGTGAAAGTAAGCCAACACAAAAATATTCCAAGTTATAAGTTAAATAACATAGAAAGATGATCAATTTATAACACAACTGAGCTCCCTAATGGCCAAAAAGTCCTTTTTTTCATGTGATGAAGATTTAGAGAGAAAAAAAATCTGATTCGATTTCAGGGGTTTTGCCCAAAAGTGGTGATTGATTAAGACAAGAATCAAAACACAGAGCAATAAATGAGCGAGACATCAATGTAGGGACACAAAGACAAAACCTTTTTCGCACAAAAAGGACGAGAATTTAGGGAAACCCGTGAAGGAGAGAGAGAAACCTGAGAAGGTAAGAGATTCTGAGGGAAAAGACTTTGGTTTCTTCTTCAATTGGGTTATCTATCTTCGAAAGCTTAAAAGCTACACTGAGATGAGATCACCAAGTCCCTTTGTATATATATAAAACACAGAGCAGTTGAAAAGATGCGAGTTTACGTGTGGTTGCGCACACAGAGACTGATTAGGCGCAGCTAATAGACTTTTTTTTTAACAGATTTAATTTTGGTAGTAATAAGATGGATTTCTTGATACATCGGAATTTGCTTCAAGGTTACATTAGTTACTTATTTGGAGAGCAAGTTCGAGGCTATTTTCGTAAATTCATACACAAAATGCAAAATGCAAAAATGAAAAAGTGAAAATGAATCCATTGGAAGGCATGGCAGTGGCCTGTTGTATTGTCTGTAAACCAGAAACCGGTTTCAGGTTTTCTATATATATTTCTGACAGATTATTTACTTTTTTTTTTTTTAATTCTCCTACAAATGATTTTAATTGTACTCTTATTATGGTATGAAACAAGATCACAAATTAACCAATTACAATAACACTATTACAATAAGAGAAGTGTTTATAAGAAGAGTTATTTTCATAAAACGGCAGTTTTAAGTTTTTTCTTACAGATTGAGTCAGTTTATGCTATTAAGACAGTTATTTGGTGAAAATACTTAACTTGATCTTCAAAAAGCGTAACTGAACACATTTATTTAGTTAGGAATTATTTTTTGTTTATTTTTTTTTATATTTGAAATTCAAATGGTTTTGGTTGACCTCAAAGAAAATTGACCAATTTTCTTTATTTTACTTTCTGGGGTTTTTAGGGTAAAAAACATAAGTGAAAAAAGGACTACGATGGTGATTCCCAGCAAAAGAAAATTACGGTGAAGACTTATGTGTTTACTTTGTGGGGTTTTTATCTGTTTTTCTTGATTTTGGATAATAAAATGTTAATCTATATAATATTAGTAAATTCTAGAGATAAAACACAAAACAATAAAGATTGTATGATAAAAATTAATGGCGGCTGTGTGTTATATTTGCAGAAACGCAGAAAACCCTACTAGAAAAAAGGTGAACTTATTACAAAATTGTCATTCATTAAAAAAAAATTAATTGGAAGACCACGTGGACGTGTACATAATGTTAGTGTACACATGTACAATGACTGCGTACATGTGTATATTCGTAGTTATGTATATGTGTACAATCGTGGTCGTGTACACATGTGTATATTCGTAGTTATGTATATGTGTACAATCGTGGTTTTGTATAATATTATATATTATTTATGTACACATATGTTCGAAATATGTTTGTTGCACATCAAAATTGTGGTTTATATTACAAAGGTTTTACAAAATGCATATTTTCTTGTACACCATATTCAGTTTAATTTGATCTATTTTATTATGTATTTTGTTTTTAGTAAGCTACCATCAATTCACCTACTTGTGTACACATAATGTTAGTGTACACATGTACAGTGAATACGTACATGTGTACATGTGTGTAAATGTATTCACCTACTTGTGTACACATAATGTTAGTGTACACATGTACAGTGAATACGTACATGTGTACATGTGTGTAAATGTATACAATCGTGGACGTGTACACATGTGTATATTCGTGGTTATGTACATGTGTACAATCGTGGTAATGTACAATATTATATATTATTTATGTACACATATGTTCGAAATATGCTTGTTGCACATCAAAATTCTGGTTTTATATTACAAAGGTTTTACAAAATGAATAATCTATGTGTACAACTATTTTCATGTATATCATATTCAGTTTAACTTGATCTATTTTATTATGTATTTTTTTTAGTAAGATACCATCAATCCACCTACTTGTATACAACTTCTTCACATATATTGGTCCATTTTCGAAGTACACGTGTACATGTTACAAAGTATACACAAAATAACCAACAAACTCCTTGATTACTCATTCCAGTACTTCTTCATAATTGCACAATGATCCTTGTTTTATTGCTTTCATTTTTACCTCCAAAATTTCAAAGCTAATAAAATGTATTGGAAAAAAAATTAAAGGAACTAAAATCAAAGCTAGAAATCATTAGATATGAATAACACCCAAAACCATCTGTACAACTATTGTTATGCAGTTTGGTAATTTTTTAGTAAGCAACCACCAGTCTACCTTATGAGCACAACTTATTCATAGATATTGGTTCATTTTGTATGTACACGTGTATATGTCAAAAAAGCGTACACAAATTAACATGTGTACATTAAATAAGGTGTACACCAACATCGAAAATGCATCTTCACAGATCTCAAAAGATAGATCAAGTAATGGAGAAAACAATTTCATCAAAAAAATGAGAAAAGAAATTTAAGAATCAGATTTGATTTTTTTTTTTTTTTAAAAAATAGAGAATGAAGGAGGAAGAAGACAAAAGAGAAAAATGAGGAAGGATGAAAGAAAGATGTGTGATGGGAGTAAATACAACCACATAGATGAAGGGCTGGGTTAATTCCCGCTAAAGCAAAATATCTACTTACTAGGGGTGGGCGTTCGGGTACCCGTTCGGGTTCGGGTCGGGTATTTCGGGTTTTCGGGTATTTCGGTATTGGGGTTTAGAACCCGTTCGGGTATTTTTACATATCGGGTCGGGTTCGGATATTTTTAGTTCGGGTTCGGTTATTTCGGGTCGGGTTCGGATATTTAGATTTGAAAGAAAAATTTTAAATTCTTAATTACTTAAGTTTCATGTATTTAAAATTTAACTATTAACTTAACTTTTTAAAAAATGTTTAATAAGTTAGACGATTAATAAGTTTGAAAATAAATTATTGAGAATAAAAATCATTATTCTGGTTATTATTTTCGAATTTTGGATGCAAATTTTGTTTAAAGTATGAAATAAGAAGCTTAACATGCATTTTAAATGAGTAACAAATCATTTTTTTTTTATAATTATATGTATATTATCTGATATTAAACTATATATAACATTAATATAAATAGTTTTAATAAAATGAGACAAAATAAACTAGGAATAAATAGGTATATATACATATGTTCGGTTATCTTTGGATACCCGTTCAGGTTCGGGTATTACCCGTTCGGGTTCGGATATCCAAACTCTCTTAACTCAATACCCGTTCGGGTATTTTGGTACTTCGGTTCGGATTTCGGTTCGGATACTTCGGGTCGGGTTCGGGTACGAGTTCGGGTATCGGATAAAGTGCCCACCCCTACTACTTACTCGTTAGCTAACTAGAGAGTTAACAATTAGAAAACCAAGTGGAAAAAGTTAAGAGAAACTGCTTAAGTAACACAAACTGATTAATTCATTATGATATAAAAAAAGGTTTTTAGTAATAAAACCCCTCAACTAAAGATGGATCATAAAAAAAATCTCAACTAAATATTTAGTGAAATAAACCCTCAACTTTAGTTCCGTTAATGTTTGTCACCCTCCGTCACAGAATTTTAGACGGAGGGTGACATATGTTAACAGAACTAAAGTTGAGGGTTTATTTCACTAATTAGTTGAGGGTTTTTGTTACGATCTATCTTTAGTTGAGGGGTTTTATTACTAAATGCGGTTAAATATTTTAAAATCTTTGTTATCATTTATATATTATTTAATAATCTTACAATTGATTTATAAACACTGAAAATAATTTATAATTTTTTATATATTACTTTATCAAAATTTTAACCTATTTATAAAACTTAGTAAATATTTTAATATTTTTATAAACTATTAATAAGGTTTAATGATGATTTTATAAGCTTTTGTCTGCTATTTCTTATAATAGAATAATACATGATTTTTTCTTGATATTACGAAGTAAAACGATAAAGCTTTATAAAGGAGGAAACACATACAATGTTCTTATATTAATATTGTCAAATATCAAATAATTAAGATTTCTAAGTTATATAAAGTTGTAGGTAGTGTTGAGGATATTTAATTAGTGTTGAGGATGTTTTTGTAGTATGACGAATAATCACATCTTTAATCTTATAAAATCATCATTAAACTTAATAGTAATTTATAAAAATTATTAAATGAGAAAATTTTATAAATATGTTATAAAATTGATAAAATAATATATAAAAAATAAACTATTTTTAATGTTTATAAATCAATTTTAAGATAATTAAATAATGAATAAATGATAATAAAGATTTTAAAATATTTAACCGCATTTAGTAATAAAACCCTTCAACTAAAGATGGATCATAACAAAAACCCTCAACTAAAGATTTAGTGAAATAAATCCTCAACTTTAGTTATGTTAATATATGTCATCCTCCGTCTAAAATTCGTAATGGATGGTGACACATTAAAAGAACTAAAGTTGAGGGTTTATTTTACTAAATATTTAGTTGAGGATTTTTTTTACGATACATCTTTAGTTGAGGGGTTTAAAATCCCTATAAAAAACATGAAACTGTCCTAGAGTTGATAATATTTCTTATAAGAAATTCATTATACTTAACGTTGTGTTGACCTTTTGAGATAATATTTGATACAATTTTATCATTTGGTAAACAATTATTAAAAAGGTTTCGCACTAAGAAGCTAGAGAGTAACTAAGTAGGATGCATGAATGCGTTGAACATTATTTTAAATAGGATTTTTAGTAATTTAAATCTTCAACTAAAGATTAATCGTAAAACAAACCTTCAACTAAAAATTATGTGAAACAAATCCTCATCTTTATATTCGTTAATATTTTTTCCCCTCCGTAACTTTTGTCCTCAATTTTTAACGGAGAAACGTTAACTGTTTACTAAATGGTTACGGAGGGGCGTAAACATTAATGGACATAAAGATGAAGGTTTATTTCATAGGATTTTTAGTTGAGGGTTTGTTTTACGATATATCTTTAGTTGAGGGTTTAAATTACTAAAAATTCTTTTTTGAGAAAATCCTATAAATATTGATTATTTAGTAATTTTATTACAGAATTTACTGTTAATACAAACTCACTTTTCTTTGTCAATGAGACCTCAGACTCCTCCGGTAAATCTTACTTGTAGCTATTCTTGTTTCCATGTTCGCTCTTACACAAAAAAAAACTTGTTTTGCATTAGTCAATTGTAGAAAGGAACAACCTAAGACCGGTGAGGAATCCACATTAGCTCAGACAACAAATCAAGTGAATTAATTTCCGTCAATTCGTTCTTTTTTCTCTAACAAATCATCTCAGTCTCTCAATGTATGGTAAAACCTCCCTCAGCGTGTTCATCTTTCAATGGTCGTCATATAAGGACAGTGTTTTTAATGCCATTTTCAGTGGCTACCTCACTCAAACCAGTCACTCATGCATTTTCATCCGACCCACCAACCAATCTTAGAAAAGACAAAAGGTAACTAAAATATAAATTGTCCTAATTTAAGTTATAGATATGTTAGAGGCGTTCACTGCGACACCATTCTATACATTAAATGTGGTCTTATTTCTGTATTTGTTTATGTTTATGTTAAAATTAGTAGGTTCTCCATTGATTTGGAAATCTCAGACAACTTAAGAGAGTTAGGTTTTTAACGTTCTACTCCAGCTTTACAAGATGAGGTTTGACTTGTTCAGAAATTCAATGAAACTAATTCACTTTATGATTGGTTTAACTATGAGTTTATTCATTGTTTTATTTTATTTTTCATTGCATATTTAAATTAAGAACTTTTTTTTGTAATTTAAACCCTCAACTAAAGATATGTCGTAAAACAAACCCTCAACTAAAATCCTGTGAAATAAACCCTCATCTTTATGTCCATTAATGTTTTCTCCCCTCCGTAACCTTTCCGTCAATAGTTAACGTTTCTCTGTCAAAAGTTGACGATAAAAATTACGGAGGGGAAAAAATATTAACGGACATAAAGATGAGGGTTTATTTTACAGAATTTTTAGGTGAGGGTTTGTTTTACGGTTAATTTTTAAATGAGGGTTTAAATTACTAAAAATCCTTTTAAATACTCGTAATTCTTGCTTTTGAAAGAGTAAGTTCATAACCATTTTCTAGTATTTTGAAAAATAGTAACATATAACTCTCGTAAATTGTAAATACAAGATCATATCTAAAACAAGATAAAGGACTACAAACACTATACACAGTCGACCACATATACACATGAGCCTGAATCTTATTTCTTCAGTGGTGGAAAATAATGAGCAATGCTTGAAGAAGCAGAACCATCACCTTTGCTTTTCCCAGCGTTAGGCCGTTTATTATGGCGCAAGAAACTCCTGAATTCTCGTTGAATCTCATAAGGTAACTCATCGAAAACAGCCTGATCGATTTCACCAACCTTGTAACCCCATTCTGTTTCTCTTCTATCTTCTCCCTCTTGATTCACTTCACTACTATGGCTGGTGGAGCTACTCAAGTTGGCTCTTTTACTTGTTAATGATACTGTTGAATCTTCTCGGGTCTCTTGCTGTGACTGAGGAGTTGCATTGTAATTCTTAAAGATATCGACAATTGAAGGCATTCCCTAAAGAAAGATAAAAGTAGCTTTTTGAGCACAAACTTGCAGATTACAGAAACAAGCAGTGAAGTTAAAAATCCGCATACCTTATTCTTTTCTTTTGAGTTGTTTATCCTCTGCCCATTTGTCTTCGTTTGTGTGCCTCTGTTCGATCCTGATTGGGTTAGAAACTCCTTTGCGTCATTTGATTGACAAGAGACATCCTGACAAGGAAACCGTGGAATTAGTTCCTGAAGTGTACACTGAGTACTTGATAACATAAATAAGCTCTTGAATCATTCAAACTATACATGCCTTGATTAATATGACTAAAGAACCTCTTCACATTTCTAATAACTTGAAACTGAGAACGTAATTGTCCCTGGTTATGCTTGGCCTTTTTTCTCTAGAGAAATGAGAGTAAAAAAAACTTTCTGGTATAGATACCTTTTCAGGGACCATGTCCATGTTTCCATATGAATTGTCTAAATCAGGCAAAGTATCAGTTATGCTGATGTCTTCTTCAGGCATTGCTGCTTGGGTTTCTACTGATTTCTGCTCTGAACAACTTTCACTAGCTACAAAAATTACAAGACAAACCATGAAATTAAGTTGGATTCAAGAACAGTTCTGCAAAATAAATAAACAGGAAAACTCTGGAATACCTGAGGGAGTTACCGCTACATCTTCTTGAAGACAACCACTTGTTGAACAAGAAGGAATAGTAGATTGACTTTGAAAATATCTCATTATCGAACTCGTGCCCTACGGTCATAAGATATCACTTCTACCAGTATAGTCCAGAAAAACAGCTAAATGTTTGATAGTGATCAATAACTAGAAGAGTCTTAGTAGCTATGAGAACTTACAGATGGTATATCCACAATCTTGCTTGCTGAAACAGAGAGACCTGTTATTCTCCATGTTTCTTTCTTATTGCCTTGAGGCTTAGTCCCGAATGGTCCCATGTATTCACGCAACGCTGCTTGAAACAAGTTGAAGGCATCTTCCTGGATCTTGGTTACCCCATATCTCAAAGGACATGATTTTGAAGGAAACTTCTTATGTGAATCTGAATCCTTTGACTGCATTACATTTTACCAAAAAAAATTGTTTTTAATTCGTCGTCTCTAGAGCCATATAACGAATCAAAATACAGGGGAAATATAAGAGTACCCCGAAAGCGCTAGCATGAAGGGTTAGGGTGCTTGCAATCCGCTTATTCTGCTCCAAGTCAGAACTGAGACGCTCGTATAGTTCTTCACAAAGCTGATTCAGCCAATGCTGAACCTAAAAGTATAACAGATTTTATTAAGAAAACAGTTATATGGTATAGGTGAATAATCTGGCTGAGATTCAACTCTTACATTTGAGAGTGACCTCAAAGCACGAGGTCCGGGAAATGTCTTTCCAGAACCATGGCTTTTAGGGAGAAGACGGCCTTGCACTTCTTCCCCACTAATCCCTCTTGCAATATTCCATAACCATGTACTACAAAGGCAGATTAAAACAAGTATCAATAACCTTGGTTACAAACAAGCACGAGTCCCATATCCTTTATAATTTCATGTTACTAAGCAAGCACATAAGTGGTCATTTAGGCAAACAGATTCACATTTGGCAGGCTAATCTTCACTAGCCTAAGAGTCCAGGCGAACAAGTTTCTATCTTTTCTAGAGTTGTTATTACCCAGTATTTACTCCGTAATGTTCTTGCAGTTTTGTTTCAGAAAACTGCAACAAGTCCCCCACAGTGTCAATTCCAAAGTCAGTTTGCAAGCTAGTGCCCAGCTTTCCTCCCAGTTGTTTCCTGCAAGAACCAAGATGCATCATTAGAGTTTCTAAATAATCGTCGACAGCATCTAACAATCTTATGATCATGTGACAGAAATGCAATACAAACTTATGAAATACTTAAACGTTTTAAAGCACACCGAGAACAAATAAAAATTAACATGAGTATAACACAGAATCTTTTAACTCTTGTAAAGAAAATAAGCACTGAGGCCAGTAATTAGGTCAGGCTTACTTACATTTTCTTTATTGGCAAAGAACTGAGAAGTTCCTGGACAGCTGAATATGGTACAACAGTTTGCTGGGCAGGTTTGTTCATTCCACTGGCAAGTTTGGCTAGCATCTGCTTGTTAAGTTACAGTTGTCACTCTCTAGAACAAGCAGTAAAAGGAAAATCAAACAAACAAAACATATCGCTTCATGCCTTGTTATGGGCTATGCCAGCAGAACAGCTAAACTCAGTCTCCTTCAACACTTGTTTCCTGAGTTCTGCAACAATGATGATTCCACAACCCAATAACTTATCACGTCGATCAGCACCTTTTCGACATATCCAATCACGGACACTCTTCTTAAAATCATCTCCATCCTGAATCAAACCCAAAAAAATCTGTATCACAGTAGAAAACACCTTAAAGATCAAAACATTAAGAAGAATCTCAACCATACCTCTCTGCTCATTCCAAGAATATGGGATTTAAGAGCTTCTTCATCTATAGATTCCAAACTCTCTGGAGGTGCATCAGCGAGCATGCTTTCCGCTGCATCAGTAAGGTCAAGATACACTTCATCAATCGAAGCCCTCTCACATCTACCACTTCGTGCTAGAATCGAAACCACCTACAGAAACAACATCGAAGAGAATAACTTTAGCAAATGTTATAGTTAGACAAACTAAAAAACAAACATTTTTAAACATGTAATAATTTCCAGTGCCATCAACCTCTGAACCGGCACTGCGATATGTATTCAAGTCAGCTTTACCACGAGCCACAGGAACTTGAACCAACTGAATCTCAGGACAAGCAGCCGTAGCCTCCTCACCTCTCATAGACCTGCAAATTTTCATCCATTTGACACACAATGAACAAGACTTGATATACAATAGGGAAGGGGGGAAAGAAGCATTGTGGAATTAGTCTTAACCGTTTGACGCCACAGCTACGTGCTTCGTAGCTAACAGCAATCAAAGCACCACCTTGCCATTCATTGTACTGCACAACTGCAGTAGGAAGTCCTCTCAACTCCGGTTGCTTCCGTTGCTCAACTAATCATGCAAGAAAAGAACACACTTTTAAAGCAAGAAAAGGACACAACTTTAAACTTCCCAAATCCCTAACACAAAGACATAAGCGGAAAAAAAGCAAAACCCATTTACAGAAACTGGAAACCCAGAACTCCAACAGTTTCAAATTCGATTCTTTCTCTCACTGAAGTGTGTACAGACTAGGGTTAGATAGAGAGAGAGAGACCTTGAACGTAGAAGCAATCCATGTCGACATGAGCGATAACTCTTGCATCCGATGTCTCCGGTCTCGCCACTGGCATTTCTTACCAAAATTGAATCTTTCTCCAGACAAATAAAAAGTAATTGAGAAGGGAACACAGAAGAAAGGGGAAACCTTTTTCTAAGGGTTTTCTCTCTCCATAGCGCGCGAAAATAATAATTAACAAAAAAACCCTCAAACTAATTGTTGTTACTAGATAACCCAAGCATTACTATGTAATCTACAAAACATCTTCAATCTAAATGAAATTAATATTTGTGTACTTTTCTCAACTCTTAGCTCAAATAGCAGAAACGAAATTTAAATCATTAGTGTTGAGATTGAATATATTTTTAAACAGGCAAATATTGGTATTTTAAAAGTTGTGGGTATTTATGAAAGAAAAAAACAAATTTGAGTACTAACCTGGAAAAGTGCGTGTTTTTTTTTATAAACCCCCCAGTTGAGTTCCTTAAAGGACAGGGAAAATTGCGTTGAAAGCTTCGTGTTCCGTCTCTGCAATGAAGCGTAGCATCGGTTCCAATTCCAATAGTGGAAGTAGCAAGAAGTCTAAGAAGAATAATAACCCCAGCAATCAGAAAACCCTAGGCGCGGCATGGGGCGCAGCTTCTCGTCCTTCTTCTTCTTTTCGTTCTTCTCCATTTTCCAATTTCGGAAGGTTATTTTCAATTTTTATGTATTTTCTTTAGTGTTATTGGTGGGTTTTTGAAATTACGATGTAAAGGTTTGGACTTTCCCTCTTAAGTGGTGTATATGGAGCATAAAAGGATCAAATAGATTTGATTTATTATTTTCTGTGTAATCTCTACTTGTCTCATAAACTAGGCATGAAACGATAAGCATTGTTATCATATTTTTTGGTTGATGTTGTGTGATTTTTGTAGTTACATGGAGGTGAAAAACCGGAAACTTCAGAACCAATTTGAAAACGAGGCTGCTGGTGTTTCGGGTTCTGAGAAGCTTATCTTCCAAGGGGTTTCAATCTTTGTGGATGGTTTAACCGTTCCTTCCCATCAGGTTTAGCTCTACTGCTTTAGTAGTTTATATTGGTTCTACATTTTTCGGTATCCAGTATTTATAAAGATGAACAAACTTTAGAATTTCCTGAAACTTTTCTTAGTGGTGGGTCTTATGTGGTTTTAACAGTTTTTAGATCTGTCTAGGAATTGCGGAGTTACATGATGAGGTATGGTGGGAGATTCGAGAACTACTTTTCAAGACGTTCTGTGACACATATCATCTGCAGCAACCTTCCAGATAGTAAAGTCAAGAATCTACGGTTAGTGCTTTCTTAGTTTCTTACAAACTCTTAGCTAATTTCTTGCAAGTTCGTTACTGATAAGGTTTCTTTCTTTTTTTTTATAAATTAGGGCATTCAGCAGAGGGTTACCTGTTGTGAAACCCGCATGGATAGTGGACTCTATCTCTGCCAACAGACTTTTGGGATGTAAGTCAACACCAGATGATTCAGCTTCACTTAAAACCATGTCGAAATTTTGGATTTGGTCATTTTGTTTGTTGTCATCGTTGCATAAAACTGTTTGGTATCTGTTTCAATACTCCTTTCTGTGATTATCACATCCTAGGGGTTCCTTACCAACTAGATCAACTGAATGATACCCAGCCAAAGTTGTCTGCGTTTTTTGCACCCAGAAGACATTCCAATCCGCAGGTGGCTTCGCCGGTTTCATCTTCTCAACCTGAAACTGGATTCAGTGAAGCTGAAGAGGGAAGTTCAGTTAGAGCAGGAGAATCAGAGGAACCAAGAGACCACGTTGCTGATGAAATGGATGGCGTTTATACTGAGAAGACTACTCCAGAAATGACTGCACAAACAAGAATTGACAATCTACAATGTTCTGAAGTGAATGCAGAAATACTTGGTAATTATGACAACGAAGAGAAAGAACTTAATAGTGAACTCCAGTCCACTACCAATCTGCCTTCTGCGTCGGACAACAAATCCTCCCATGGAAAATCGGTTGCAACTGCTGCTGAATCCTCTCTAAGGCGCCATTCAACTCTCGAGGACCCCAATTTTGTGGAAAACTACTTCAAGGTAAATCTTTAAAGAAAATTGTTAGCCTGTTTATGCCACCATTTTGGTATCTCTTACAAGGGATGCATAGTATTACTACAAAGCAGACTCTGAAGATGCTTTTTTCCATATTTAATTTTGTTTCTGCAGAATTCAAGGCTGCATTTTATTGGAACATGGAGAAACAGATACCGTAAAAGATTCCACGGCTCTTTTAATGGACTTAAATGGACAGATTCTGGCCAGAATACAGATGAAAATGCCAAGAAGTTAACCATTATCCACATCGATTTGGTAATTTCAACTCTCTAGGCTGTGTTCTGTTTCCTATGTAGGGGAAACAAAAGAAGCCCTGACCTCTTTTCTGCATTTTCCCGCAATATAATAAATATACGTTTAAGCATGAAGTTAGCCACGTAAGGAAGTGAAAAAATGCTTGAAGCTTGCGATCTAGGATTTCGTTTTTGTTCTCACTTTCAATTGTTGCTTTCTAAGTACTTAAATCTGTGATACTATCCCAGGATTCGTTCTTTGTGTCGGTGGTAGTCAGGAACCGTCTTGAATTACAAGACAAGCCCGTAGCCGTATGCCACTCAGATAATCCTAAAGGAACGGCGGAAATTTCTTCTGCAAACTATCCAGCTCGGGCTTATGGTCTGTCTTATACTAAAGTAATCTTTCTTAAGCTTAGTTATGCTATGTGTCATGACTTCTCTGCTTTTGTACTAACTTGATGCAATTTTCGAAATCTAGGAGTGAAGGCAGGTATGTTTGTAAGACATGCCAAAGACCTTTGTCCTCAGCTTGTTATTGTTCCTTACAACTTTGAAGCCTATGAAGAGGTATTTTCTGGAGTTGAGTATGTCTTGTCTGTTGTCGAGTCGGTACAGCTTGTTTGACATTGTAACTCAATCGCAGGTAGCTGATCAGTTTTATGACATCCTGCATAGGCATTGCAGAAAAGTTCAGGTCAGCCTTCAAAAAGATTCATTTTCCTGTTGCTGGCACTAACTTACTTTATGAAATTATGTTTCTTTTTTGGTGTTAGGCGGTAAGCTGCGATGAAGCATTTTTAGATGTCTCAGATATGAGAGATGTAGAACCTGAGTTGTTAGCATCAACAATAAGAAAAGAGATTCTTGACACTACTAGATGCAGTGCAAGTGCTGGGATAGGCGGTACTATGCTAATGGCTCGCCTTGCTACCAGAGTTGCTAAACCAGCCGGTCAGTTTCATATCTCTGCTGAGAAGGTGATTTCTGTAAACTGCTTTCTTTTTTTTAGTGTATATGTGTTTGTTCAGTGACTTGTAGCAGTGGAAAGAGGACTATGAGCTGTGGTTGTTAGTTTTCTTAAATGCAGAAGCCATTTTGTATAGAAGTTCGGTTCATGATAGTGTGTACCGTTTTTGCAGGTGGAGGAGTTCTTGGATCAGCTTGCAGTCGGCACACTTCCTGGTGTAGGTTCTGTGTTGAAGGAGAAGCTGGAGAAGCAAAATATTCAAACCTGTAGGCAGTTACGTTTAATATCCAAGGTAAAACATCTTTTGTTCGCTGGCTTTATCCATAGTTGAAAATAAATTTTTCAAGAAACAGTTTGTCTCCAATATTTTACTCTGGTTAGCTTTACATCGAAATAGCTTTTGAAGTTGAGAAAAACACCATATACAATTTTACTTACTACAAAACTTAGTTTGAAAGATACTATTTTTTTTTTTTGAAACACGAGTTTGAAAGATACTAATTCTGTTTTGTATTAAGTTCCATCTTGTTATTAATACTCATGAGAACATTCTACAATTACAAGGAAAGTGGAATCTTTATTGAGGAAAAGTGAAATTGTGACAGTCAACCTAGATAAAAAAAACATATTGGGTTTTTGCAGGATGCTCTTCAAAAGGATTTTGGGGTGAAAACCGGCGAGATGCTTTGGAGTTATAGCAGAGGACTAGATCTTCGGTCTGTTACGGCGGTGCAGGTCTGCTTAGCAGTTGACTCACTCATTTTTTTTACATTTCATAGTTTTTCTCTCTACAGGTGTTATTTTTCTTTTGGAATGTCTTATATGTGAGCTTATGATTACCCTCAACCAGTAACGTGGAGATTTTTTTTATTTACAGGAGAGCAAGTCCATAGGGGCTGAAGTGAATTGGGGCGTACGGTTTAGAGATCAGCAAGATGTCTGTATTTTAGTGATTTATGTCTTTTGTTACTTTCTTCCAAACATATTTCATTTGATGTTTAACCAAGAATTTGTGTGTTACGGACGGTTGCAGGTTCAACACTTCCTCCAATGCCTATGCAAGGAAGTTTCTTTGCGTCTGCAAGGATGTGAAATGATGGGACGCACTTTTACTCTTAAGGTATTATGCCTTCTCTTAATTTCATTGCTGTGAAGATATGTAGTGTCATGCTTTTATTCACAGCATCGCATTGGGTATTATATGCCATGATGAAAGCATTTATCGTGAGAAAAAAACATTGAAAGTTTTGTGGTGTGGTGCTGTTTCAGATAAAAAAGAGAAAAAAAGATGCCGGAGAACCTGTGAAGTATATGGGTTGTGGAGACTGTGACAACTTTAGCCGTTCTATCACTGTGAGTGGGTACCATAAAAGTTTGAAACTAGCATGATAGTTTTCTTGTATCTTACTGTTGCTAAATGCAGTTTTTTTCATATATGCTTCTGTAATCCTTATTGATAATATAGGTGCCTGCCGCTACAGATGACATAGAAGTTCTACAGAGGATTTCAAAGAAGTTGTTTGGGTCGTTTTGCTTGGGTAAGTGGGCCTCAGCTGCTTTTTAAGATTGTTCCGTTGCTTTTACCCTCACATGCGATGCAAAGAAGCAGCTTATTTGAAAATTCAGATGTTGTAAAAGATGGACAGAGTCATAAAACTAGTTTGAAAGATTAGATGAACCTGTGGCAAGCTCTTGAAGCTTCTCTCTCCTAAGTGTCTGCTTATTGCTAAACTATACTTCCCTCTAGTTGATGTCTCTAATTGTTTCGTAGATTTTCTTGGACCACTTACTGATTTGTAGAAGCTGAAAAGTTGCAAAGAGTATTTACAGTACACGACAATGAGAAATCCTTGAGATTGAAAATCTTGGAGGAATCTATTGTTTGCTATTAACTTATGGATGACATCAAACTGTTGTATTGCTTGCAGCTTTTGCTATTCGTTTTTTCGTTTTAGCTATTCCTTGAATTTGGATTATTAACCCTCAACTTTTGTTTCTCTTGAGATAGATGTTAAGGAAGTTCGTGGGGTTGGGCTTCAGGTCTCTAAGCTTGAGGGTGCAGATCCTTCTAATAAAGGTAGTTTACTGAAACTCTAGGGTTCACTATGACTTGTCGGTGTGTGCTTTTCTAGAAAATCAGAAAAGAAAAGAATATGATGTGTCGATAGTCAATGATATTTGTTCCCTTAACTCTCAAGGTTCAAAGACACTGACATCATGGCTCAACTCTGCGCCTGCCTCTGTCCAAACAGAAAAAGATGATAATGTCTTTGCTGCAGAAGTTAGAGAGATACCAGGTAATAAATGCTCTTAGTCCACACAATGTTTAAAGCTTTACAAGTGACACCCAGGAAGAAATACTTGTGTTATTCGTCCTGATTCTGTTATAAGCGAAGACCTTGACCCAAAGTTGGTTTCATTTTCATTCGTCTTTTGTTGGTCTGGGGTGTGGAATATGCAGACGTGATGGTTAAGTTTTTTTTTTGCTGTGAAAAGTTGCTTCTTTAACTACTGTCTTGTGGCAGAGGGTAAGAGGCGCGATACTGGTGGAGTTTCTAGACTCCGAGAATGTAATTCAGCAGAACCCTCAGTTCAGTCAGGTGATACAAATTCGTCCTTGCCGCCCATGTGTCACCTTGACATGGAAGTTTTAGAGAACCTTCCTCCGGAGCTCCTTTCAGAATTAGATGGAACCTACGGCGGGAAGTTGTATGAGTTGATTGAGAAGAAACGAGGCAAAAGAAAAATCAACAGCAGTTCTCCACATGTCTCCTTGGATGGTTAAATTTTCAGCTGCATAAGAATTCCGATGAAACAACCGTTTTTTTCAGTTGCATTACTTTTTTTCTTCTTTCTTTACTGCAGGCATTAAAGGATCGAGTTCTGCTTCAATTAAGATACACGGCTCCAGCACATCTGGAGAAAAGGTAAAGCTTCTTGGAACTGAACTGAGTTTTCTCATATATGTTTAGCCATGCATCTTCAGCAATCTAACACTGCTGAAAATGGGGCAAGTGATGTGCAAAGAATATTGACTTTTGGACTACTTAGAATTTTCCTTATATATTTGATATCAGAAACATGACAAACCACATCCTTCCATTGCAAGAGCACCTAGTGAGCGTGCCATCAAAATGACTGATTTGATGCCGTTATCCCTTAGTCAAGTTGACGTCTCTGTGTTACAAGAATTGCCTGAAGAGTTGAGAGCTGATGTGTTGGGAGCATTTCCTACCCACCGGAGACAACAGTCATCATCAAATGCTCCGATGGAGACTTGTAAGAAACAAGATAAGGAGCCAACAGATATAAATGACGCTGAGAATGACATTGGATTCTCAAGTAGCTCTCTCTGGTTTGGTAATCCTCCTTTGTGGGTAGAGAATTTCCAAATTAGCGGCAATTGTACTTTGGAAAAATTTTCAAAGATATACTACAAGGTGGCTCAGCCAAGGCCTATGTTATCCACGGTGCTCCAACGTGCTATGTCAGAAGTTTGGAGTTCTGGTGATGCAAGTGCCAATGATTTGGAGAAAACCGTTCACGATGTGTGTGAATTTCTTAAAGAGTACATTAAGATCAAGGTAGAAGGTGATATTGAAGAGATATATCTCTGCTTCCGCCTTCTGAAAAGGTACAAATTCTATTTCATTGATCTTACTTACACATGTAATCAATCAAGGATATGCCATTGCCTTTTTTGGACATTCGACTATAATGATTCGGTTCAAAGATTTCGTTTATTGTCCAATAGATTATAACCACATTTGGTGCTTTATCTTCAGATTAGCAGCGAGGAGCCAACTCTTCCACCAAGTCTATGAGATTGTGTCTCCCTTTATTCAGGTCACTGCAAGTTTTCCTTTTACGTTATGAATAGAATCATTTGTGAATATCGTAAAATGGCAAAGTGATCAGACTTCTCTCTTTACATAGGCGTTGATCAGTGAACACTATGGAGGAAGCTTGAGCATGCCTTGAAAGGATCTTTTTTCTCCTGAAAGCAACTAAATGCTTCAAATTACTCTTTAACTGGATGCTACTGAAGAATGCATACTTGCAGGTACATTCTCGTTCCTGTTTATCCATCAACTTTCATCTGTTGCCTTCGTTGCCTACCAAGAAAGCTATGAATATATATAAACATAATTTTGAATATGGACACTGCAGAAGAATGTGGATCCCAAGGGCTTCGTGGTGAATGCACATGAAGCAAGCTTAAACAGTCATATGGAAGTGATTCAGCCTTAACGAATACAGCCACCACTCTCTTTAGGAATGTATACTGGAGAAACAAACACCCCCATTGTATTTAATAGCACACTTTACAAATATAGTGTTGTATATGTCGTGCTTATTGACTACGCTCCTTTGTATATTTGTAGCTTTATATATCAACTAAAGTTATCAAGTGTTAAAGATATTTAGGATTTAAGTTAAAACTAGGGCTAGCAAAAAAGGCTGCTATTGATTTGCTTCAAAGGTATCATCAGCCATTCAGCCTCACCAGCAACACCGATCCCGTCAGCTTCGACTTCAGTATCATCTGCTCAAAGACGTTTCAGCATTCAGTCTCTTCCTCCTCCAACGTCATATTTTTTATAGGATGAACGAAAGCTCCTCGTCACAGAAGCTTTTTTAGAAGAAAGGCCAAGTGGATACACTACAATGCCTTGTTTGAACAAGAAATTCAACAAGATCAAGAAGCCGATACTTGACCTAGAGGACATAACAACTAATCAGATGTCTAAAGACGCTGAGGAAAAGCGTGCTAGGAAAGGGTATGAGATCAACAAAAACGACTCTTGGACTCATCATTGCGTGAATTTCACCGTTTTTTTATCCTTATCTTTTGTTGGTACTCCGTAATAATTTTCTTTTTTTTTGGTAAAATACTCCGTAATAATTTCCCTCTCATTCATATATATATTCAAGCTTTCATTTTTGTTTACTGGCAGTTCAGCTGTGATCATGTTCTTCAACTAAGCATTAAAATTTATGGAAGGATGCTCAGCTTCATGGGGATTCTTGCTCTTCCTTAAGGGAAAAATGTATTTTCCAACAAATTTTTTTTTTTTTTTTTTTTTGTAACATATTTTCCAACAAATTATAAACATCTTTTTGATCATTTTTTCGTAATCTTTTACGTCGTTTAATCAATGAACAACAAATGCTTGTGACTTTTACTGTGTAGGCCCAGTAAGTCTAACTTATGTTAAACTTGATAACCTGAAATAATTTAGCCGTAGTTCATAATATCTAGAAAATGTAAGGGTCTTAGAATAAATACTAAAACACTAAAAAAACCACACGAAAGCCCTAAACCCCATCTCACTCTCCAGAGAAGAAACTCTCCGGCCATCAACAACCATGCTCTCTCACCGTCTCCGGCGACTTCTCATCACCTTACCTTCCTCTCTCCAACGATCCTCCACTCCAACTCCCCCCTCCCATCTCCCTCCCGTATCATCTCTCTCACATCGAACCCTAACAAAGCAATCGCCGAAGTTTTCTCAATCTCCGGCGAGATCATTCTCAACGACTCAATACCAATACGATCCCTACACAGGAGAAGACTCTTTCACGCCAGATAACGAAGGATGCGATTTCAACCACTGGCTAATCACGATGGATTTCCCAAAGGAGAATCCTCCTTCTAGAGACGAAATGATCTCAATCTTCGAGCAGACTTGCGCTAAAGGACTTGGTCTAAGGTTTCGAATCTCAATTACAAGAAAAGGTTTTCAATTTTTGCAAAATGTTGTTTAAAGTTTATAGCTTTGTTTTAGTTTGGAGGAGGCTAAGAAGAAGATATATGCAATTTGCACGACGAGTTATCAAGGCTTTCAAGCGGTTATGTCTATAGGAGAAGTTGAGAAGTTTAGAGGTATGATTTTGGGAGATGGATTTGTTGAGACTTGAGAGTGGATTTGAATTTGGTGTTTTTTTTTATTTTTATGAAAACAGATTTGCCTGGGGTTCAGTATATTATTCCTGATTCTTATGTTGATGTTGAGAACAAGGTGTATGGAGGTGAGTTTTTTTTTGGTTTTGTATAGTTTTTAGAACGTTTGTGGAGTGTTTGGTTTGTGTGTTTTTGGAATTTTCAGGAGATAAATATGAGGATGGTGTGATTACGCCTGGTCCGGTTCCTGTCGCTACTAAAGAAGGATTTGATTCTTTAGAGAAGGGAGAAGAGCAAGCTCAGGAAGCTCAAACGCAGCCAGGTAAGGAGGTAGCTTCAGAGAAAGTGTTGGATCAAGGAAGTCAAACGCCTCGAGAGGAGAGGAGTGTCAAGGAAAACCAAGGAGCTTTGACTCCAATTCAATGGCGACTATCCCCAAGACAATGGAAAGGTCGAGGTGAAGTGTCGACTTCAAGAGAAGGGCAAGGATATCAGATGCCTTCATTTCGAGGGAGTTTCAATAGAGATCAAGGTGCTCCCACCTTAGGACAAAGGCAGGTTCAAGGTAATGGAGTTCCAAGGTTACAATGGGGTTTCAATCAAGGCCAAGAAACTCCATTCGTAGGAAAAGTGCAAGGTCAAGAAAGTCAAACGCCTTCATCTCAAAGGAGTTACAGCCAAGGCCAGGGAACAGCAATGTCAGGGCAGGGTCAAGGAAGTCAAACACCCTCCTATCATATGGGTTATAACCAAGGTCAGGGAACTCAGACGCCTCCATATCAAGGAGCAGTGGTGAACTACAACCAAGGGCCACCGCAAGGCAACTTTACTCAAGGGACACATGAAAATTACAACCAAGTGGGCAGAGGGAATAACACTCCGCAGAGTGGTGGAAACTATGGTCCTGCACAAGGAGCAGGAAGTACAGGATTTGGACACGGGCAAGGTCAAGGAGGTCAGTTATTGTCTCCATATCAAGGGAGTTGCAACCAAGGCCAGGGATCTCCAATGCCAGGGCAAGGTCAAGGAGGTCAGTTATTGCCTCCATATCAAGGGAGTTACAACCAGGGCCAGGGATCCTCAATGCCAGGGCAAGCTCAAGGAGGTCAAATACCTTCATATCAGATTGGTAACAGCCAAGGCCAAGGGCCACCGGTGCCTCCATACCAAGTAAACTACAACCAAGGAACACCAGGAAATTATGGTCAATGGGCGTTTGTGAACTACAACCAAGGGCCACCGCATGGTAACTTTCTCCAAGGCCCACATCAAAATTACAACCAAGGAGGTCAATGGAATTTCAATCCAGCGAGTAGTGGAAACTATGGTCCTCCACAGTTTGGAAACCAAGTGCCTCAATATCAGTTGAGTTACAATCAAGGTCAAGGAGTTCCATTCCCTGGACAATGGCAATGTCAAGGATGTGGAATGCCTTTGTATCAGGGGTATTACAATCAAGGCCAAGGTACACCAAATCATGGACAATGGCAAGGTCAAGGATTTGCAGTGCCTTCATATCAATCGAGTTATAGTCACAGCCAAGGAGCATCGGTGCCTCCACAGCAAGGATTACCAAGCATTACCGGTCAAGGGACATCTGCAAACTTCAACCAAGGGATTCCGGTGAACTATATTCAAACGAGGGAAGGGAATCACAATCTGCAGAGTGGTGGAAGCTATGGTCATACACATGGATCAGCAGGGTTTTCTGGACAAGGACATAATCAAACATATCCACAGAAGGATCAGAGGAATGTAGTAGGTGACTTGAGCAACAACAATAATCCTTCAGCCTCGAATGAAACCGGCAAAGTAAGTTCTTGAACATAAGTGTTTGCACAGATTTCTTGTCTTAAAACACCATAAAACATAACGCTCCAGCTATCTTAATTATTGTTCTGTATAAATGTTTATTAGAAGATGGTTCCTTTGTTTCAGATTCCACATTGAATAAGATCTGAGCAGAGGGACGAGGGAATTGTGAAACTGGCAGGCGATCATGAGTACTTCTGATTAGAGTAGTCATCAGTTAGAAGTTTTTACAATTGATTACTTCGGTATCTGCAGGCTGGTCCTAGGCTCAGCGTGCCTGCTCACGAATATAACCATCAGTGCTGATTTTACCAGACACAGCAAAAATAGTCATGTTCACAACGGAACTAGCACAGCCGTTTTTCTGTAACCGTCTAGCATTACTTGGCGTCTATATATGATAAGATAATACACAGTTCGGCATTGCGAACTTAGGCCTTAGCATCTGTGTTATCTCTTCATAAACACTTGATGTACGTGTACAAAAGACGTAAAGACTAGTGACATGTTTTTTGTGCTTTTATACAGTTAACTTATTTTCGAAAAACACTACACAGTTCGGGTTGTATTTTCGTTTTTAAGTTGCATTATCATCATATACATCATAAGGCTAGGACATTTAGCAATTTGTTTGTCTCTTTGTGCTCTCATGTTACTTGAAACACTACAAAATGGCATAAGATTCTTTCTTTTACGTGTTTTTAGTGCTCTCATGTTACTTGAAGCAAATAACAAAGCTTTGTTGGACCAGTTTCTGAAGAAGAAAGAGTGGGTTTTGTCCTCATAGAACAACTTAGTCCTTCTCTACAACTGGACTGGTGTTACATGTCGCCCCAAACACGAGAGTTACTGGTTTGGAGCTGAGAGGATTGCAGTTGGGCGGGGTGATATCACCATCTGTTGGTAATCTTTCTTTTCATATATCACTCTCACTAATAATTCTTTTTGGTGGAACCATCCATTGAAGCTTGTTTAGGCTTCGAAAATTGCCTATGGCATTTAGCTTTTTCAAAAGGAGGGATTCTAGCCACCAGCTTTTTTTTTTATCAACTATCCACCAATTCTGGTTTAAATATGTAAAAACAATCTCAGACACCCTTTTTTACATCGTGTGTAAGTGTAACCAAAATCAACATGGGGGTGTGTGTATCAATAAGGCTGCACAACGAACTTATGTCATGACTGATGTTTCTTGATTTGAAGGTGGTAACTTTGACAGTACCCAAGTTGGAGAATTATCCATCCACAGAGCTTCACCATTCTCCTTATGCTTGAAGTCAGGAGCTTTCGTGTTTGTCTACATGTAGTTTCAAAAAACGTTGTAGGAGTCGAAAATGAACACAAAGAAGTCAAATGGAAGGAAATGAGATCTTAAAGGTTTCTAAGATGCCACGAGCAGCAAGGTTTATTATTTATTACCTTTTTTAATCTGTTGTCCCACCATTTGTCTGGATTCTGAACCAAGTCCTTCCAAAGTTCCTCTCCTACATATATGAAGACAGCTTGGTTTACAAAACGAGACAGTAATAAAACACCACCTAGCTACCTAAGACTTCGTTAAATGAGAACTTACTTTTATGTTTTTGCAGTGTTGGCTGAGAGACTGTATTGGCCATTAGAGGTTGTTCTTGATTCGTCTTGAGAGGTGGTAACTTTGGCAGTACCCAAGTAGGAGAGTCGGTCATCCACAGTGCTTCACCACTATCTTTATGCTTAAAGTCAGGGGCTTTCACGTTTGTCTACACTTAGTTCAAAAACATTACTGAGAAATGTAAAATGAACATTAGAGGATATCTGGGCAGAGACTAGTAGTGTTGTCAAATATGTTACCTTTCGTGATCTGTTGTCATACCATTTATCGGGGTTCTGAACCAAGTCCTTCCAAGATTCCTCTCCTACATCTCAGGACAATGTCGTTTTAGGTAACCAGACAGTAACAAAATGTCACACCGCTGCCTAAGACTTGATAAAACGGAGAATTTACTTTTAACTTGTTTCGGTGTCGGCGTTGAGATAGTATTAGCCATGGGAGGTTGTTCTTGATTCTTCTTTAGAGGCGGTAATTTTGAGAGTACCCAAGTGGGAGAGTCAGTCATCCACAGTGCCTCGCCGCTCTCTTTATGCTTGAAATCAGGGGCTTTCACGTTTGTCTAAAGATGGTTTTAAAAACGTTACTGGGAAACGTCTGAAAATGAACATGAGGGGAGATATGGGTAGAGGCTTAGTCTCTTCAAATATGTTACCTTTCTTGATCTGTTGTCATACCATTTATCAGGGTTCTGAACCAAGTCCTTCCAAAATTCCTCTCCTACATTGCAGGACAGAACGCTTGAGGAAACGAGATAGCAACACAATGCCACATAACACATAACAAATTTTCCAAAAGGGAAACTTACCTTTAAGTTGTTTTAATTTTCCTTTAGGGAGAAAAACATCAAACTCAAGCTCATTGAGTTTCTGTAAAACCCAATCAGGAGCATCGTTTAGCCACAGAGAAAGACCACCACCAACCTTGCCCTTGAAGTCAGGATGTTTCGGTTTCACCTGCACAGATATGAATATCAATAAACGAAAAGATTTTTAGTCTAGAAGGTATCAAAGAACATGACTGAGGCAGAAACGAATCCAAATCAAAGTGTGTTTACCAATCCGCTGGCTTTACTCCCACGACAATCCAACCACTCTTTAGGATTTTCAAGTAGATGCTTCCAAGGATTAGAGGTATCTTCATCCAAGACTATAACCTTCTTAGATCTTGCTGAAAGAATACAAATTAAACTTTTAACTTGGACAGACAATAGATAATAATCATGTTGATGAAAGCAAGGCTAAGCTCAAAAGAGAGTCGATCAGGATCCACATGTTGAAAGCAACAAAGGAGTAGTAACGTAAGTTTAACAAAACGTCATATAAAGAACATAAGATATACCAGGCTGCTTCTTGGTGCTGAGTTCTTCTATTTCAGGTAATGGAATGCTGATTTCTTCTCCCTCATTTACCAATCCGCTGTCTTTACTCTCACTATAATCCAAATCCAGCAACTCTTTAGGATTTTCAAGAAGATGCTTCAAATCATCAGAACTTTCTTCAACCATGCCTTGAACCTTCATTTTTCTTGCTGAAAAAAAAACACAACATAACCAAAACTGTATACTCAAACATTGCATAAAACTGATAGAAAGATAGCTCATACGTGACTTGTTCACCACCCAATCACTTTAAAGCAACAAAGGAGTATCATAAGTTCAAGAAAACAGGTAAGAAAAGGACACAGGACACATACAAGTCTGTTTCTTGGTGCTGAGTTCTTCAATTTCAGAAGGTGGGAAGCTCATTTCTTCTAATTGGGGTGGTTGGATCGCACCCTGTACGAAGTTAAGATTCTGAACCATAATCTGTTACATATGAACAGACCATCATGACATTATTATCAACTCAAGGAAACTATACATATGAAAGAAGAACGCTAAAGAATCTGGTTACTACTACTAATAAACTCATTGCATCTACTGAAAAAATCATTCAACCTGGACATTGGATTGAGGGTAAGTGACATTGGGAGGAGGTGAATCTATAAAGAGCTTCCCGGAGATATGAATCCTATCATCTTTCTTTACATGGTAAGCTGCTATTTTAGCTAAATCACCTTCGAATATTATCGGAATCCTGCAAATAATAAAAAAAATCTCAACTTTGATTCATTAAAGAGACTATAGTTACAGTACAAAAAAAAAAAAAAGAAAAACCATGAAAAAATGTTACCAGAAATCAGAAGATTTTAAACCGGAGCGTTGAGAGATAACCGTGCCAGCCCATGATTTTCCATCGGAATAAGACTTAAATTGAACCGGTTGATCCACGAAGCCGGTTAGGTTAACCTGTTTCGCTATTTCCGGTTGGTACTCAATCATTTTCGGCCGAGCCAATTCATGTTCCTCCGATGATTCCGCCGCGGGATCATTTCCTCCTCCCCTGATTTTGATTTTACCGGTGGTGGCTGTGTACAAGCGGATTTGGTGAGAGATTAGCCATTTTCGAGTTGGGAGTTTGGGTGATCTCGAGAGGTGGTAAAGTGAGGAACAGAGAGTTCTTGTCAACGTCCGAGAAACCAAATACATGGTGTTTCGTACAGTGTCTGAGATGACGTCTCCAAGTTCAGTGAAGTGTGGGAGATGATGATGATGATGATGAAAAGCCCTAGCTAGCTAGTTACTAGTTATCGGGTATAGCCAAGGGAAAGGGGTTTAAGGGAAAACAGGTGGAAAAGAGTAGTAGAAATTGGAAAAAGTTTATTCATCCATCATAAATGTAATTTAATTGCTAGCTACCATATTTGTTTTTATTTAATTCTGGTTCGCCTTTTAACTTTTTAGATTCAGTTCAGAGGCTCATCTTGATTTTCTTCTTTTTGTCAACAGGCTCTTATACTGGGCCTTTTTTTTTTTTTTTTTTTTTTTGGAGTTTGTCTAGTCTCTTTTTTAAATATCAACATACAGTATAACCTCTATAAATTAATAATATTGAGACTTTGAAATTTTATTAATTTATAGAGATATTAATTTACAAAAGTTTCTTTATTTAGATTTTTTCCATTTTTATTTTTAAAATAAAAAATTGTTTTATTTTAACGTATGTACCTTATTTAAATTTTAGAATTTTGACTTTTATATTCTTTTATTATCTTATTTAATGTATATTTTTATGTTTCATAGAATTGTTACGTGGTTTTCGACATAATTTGACTAAATATTATCAAAATAGAATGAAATGTTAAAAAAATAAAAGTATTTAATTTTATTGTAAATATAAATCCAACAATATAATGGTAGATTGTATTATATAAAATTATTTATAGATAGATTATTAATTTATGATTTTAATGAGACTATATATTTACATGGCAGTTTTGAAAATATTATTATCTTATTATTTTATCCATTTGTGTCATATTTTACACCGGTCCAAGTTGGAACCAGTAAAATTTATTAATTTATAAAGATTATTAATTTATCGAGTATTAATTTATAGAGGTTCTACTGTATATAAACTTCCATCAAAGCTGAACATTTGGAAACAAACCAAAGAAGACGAAGAAACACAACTTTTACCATTCGTTAAATATTATGTAAGAGCTCGTTAAATAAAAAATAACGATTTGATTGTAATCTTTAGTTTTTTCTTTAAAATTAATTTTTCTTTTCCTTCATATTCTTTAAATCATGTGATCTATCTATATTACTTCCAAAAGTGATAATGAGCTGTGTTAATCTGTAAGAGAAAAACGTGTTTCAGATGCTATATTTTGAGGGCTAATTTGTGAAATAACCAATTTTAGAGACATAATTAAGAATATAGCATTTGATTTGACATTATTTGATTTTATAGCAATTTCTTCATTTTCTTTCGGTTCTTTCTTTTTCTTTCGATTGTCTTTTTTTTTTTTGTTCAAACTGAAAGTTATCATTAATGGGCTTAAGCTGGGTTTAAAGCCCAGAGTGCGTTTTTTGCAACGAGATCTGCTCGACAATTAGCAGTCCGTGGAATAAAACAGAAAGAAATGGTCTGAAACGCCTCAGACAGAGAATAGATATCCCGGAGGATTGAATAGATTTCAAGATTCATCCCTTGTCGGTTAATGGTGTTAATGAGGACTTGAGAATCTGACTGAAACCTGATGGCATCGTAGCCTTGTTGTAGAGCGAAGGTCATGGCGTGAAGGAGTGCCAGGGTTTCCGCTATAAGGGGCGAGGAGATGTGAGTCATCGTCGCTGCATGTTGTGATGTCTGGTCCCGATCATCAACGATCCAACCAAATCCAGCAATTCCTGATGTAGGATTCCAAGCGGCATCAGTGGAGATAGAGCATACATCGGTTTGGTTAGGTATTGGTTTGATTCTGATCAAAGGTTTCGGAATTTTGGGTTGGGGTTGCGCTTCCAACCATTCTCTTGCATCAATGATCGCCTTTTGGATCGTTTCTTCTGGTGAAAAGTTTCTTTTTTGAAAGAGAAGCTGATTCCGTGAAAGCCACAGCGACCAGCAAATCCAGGCTGCAAGAGTCTCTCGGTCAAGACCTATTGGAGGGAGAGAGTGGGTTCGACGAACTGCGTCCCATCCCTCGCGTGTTGAAGAGAAGACCCTTGAATCCACAGAGAGGTTAAGCGGGGCAAGCTCCCAAACCTTCGCTGCAAAGGGGCATTCAAACAACAGGTGTGTGACTGATTCTTCAACATTGCATCTAGCGCAAGAGGTAGATATTGGGATGTTACGGATTGCAAATTGTTCTCCTACTGGTAGAGCTTCTTGTAGGGATCTCCAAATAAAGACTTTGATTTTTTCGGAAGTTTTTATATTCCACACACTTGAGAGCCAGTCTGGTTCGTTGTTGATCTCCAAATTAAGCGTGTTGGTGTTTTTCTCCACTCTTGACAGGTATCCCGATCTTGTGGTGTACTCCCCTGAGGAATTTTTGAGCCAAACTAGTTCATTCGGGGCTCCAGTCCTGCTTAGCTTTAACCTTAGTATCTGATCTTTATGCGCTGGGAGGATAGAATCAAGTTTCTCGGTGTCCCACTCAAGTGAGTTTGGTCGTATGAGATAGGATACTTTGAGGTGTTGCTGTGTCTCCGGGGCTGGTCCAAAAGGTCTGAGTTGGTCGGTTTGTGAAAGCCACGGGTCATTCCAAACACTAATGGCCTCTCCCGTTCCAACTATCCAGCCTAACTGAGACACCAAGAGGTCCCTTCCTATCAAGACGCTTCTCCAGCCATGTGAGGCTGTCGATGGGGTTTTGCATCTTAGGAAGGATTCCGAGTGGCAGTACTTTCCCAAGAGGACACGGGCCAGGAGGCAAGACGGGTTTCGTAGGATCCTCCATCATATCTTTGCCAACAGAGCATCATTGAAGGATGTAATATCTTTAAAACCCAGGCCTCCCTTCTTCTTTGGTTTCGCCATTTTTTCCCATGAGACCCATGATATTTTTCGTTTTCCAGGGTCATCATCCCACCAGAACCGTGTAAGCGCAGATTGGATGTTAGAGCAAAGCGATTGGGGAAGTTTGAAACAACTCATGGAATGGGACGGCATTGGTGCTAACACACTCTTGAGCATAATCATTTTCCCCGCTGAGCTGAGGAATTTTGTGGACCAACTAGCAGCTCTTTGTTGGATACGGTCCACTACTGAGGCGAAGAGATCTTTTTTCTTTCTACCAAACTGCTCTGGTAGTCCCAGGTATTTCCCTACTCCCCCTTCTTTTTCTATCTCAAGCGAAGACTTCATGAGGTTTCTGATTGATGTGCTCGTTCTTTTTGAAAAAAAGATTGAAGATTTCTGCTTGTTTATGAGCTGCCCAGAGACGGTTTTCATAGGTGGTTAGAATTGACTTGAGGGATTCAGCATTCTTCCTGTTTGCTTTGCAGAAAAACATGGTGTCATCAGCAAACAGGAGATGGTTGATGCTAGGACTATGTGTTGCTACGGATACACCTTTTAGGAGACCTTTCCGATTGTCTATAACAACGTTGGTTATGATGATAACAAATAAATAGAATAGAACATGGTAAATGGTATAGTTTATATTAAGTAAATTTTAAAATAATTTTAATATATTAATATTATATATATATCCAAAATTAATAAAATTAAACCTAAAGTCAACCCAAATCTTCTAAAACCTAAACATAAAACAATAATCACTAAACCCTAAAAGAAAATATTAACACTAATTCAAATATCAAAATATTCATATAGTACATAATATTAAGTAATATCTAAATAGAATAGTAATGAACCAAATAGAATAGTACATAGTGTATAAATAAAATAGAATATGCTAAAGTAATAATGCTTACCTCAATATCGATCCAAATATTTTATGAACTAAACCTAAAACACTAATTACTAAACCCTAAAAGGTAATATAAACCCAAATTCAAATATCAAAATATGCTAATAGTACATAATATAAAATATTATCGAAATAGAATAGTAACATATGAAATAGTATAGAATATTTCAACAGATCTGACAAGCATCGATAGTTTGGAAAAGAAAAAAAAGATCCACATCACCGTATATTGTTGCAGAGGTATCTTTTTTTTCTAATATGTCACTAGTCTGTCGTCTTTATTCTCCATATCAACCACCAGATCCAAATAACAACGAAAGTCACCATTAATACAACGAAAGATTCAATCTATATTATAGGATTCAAAATCAAAACCAAAGTAGGAAAACAGAGACATCGTTACAAGAATCAATAATCTGAGAGAGAAGAGAAATAAAAAATACAGAGAAAAAATAGAAAACGGTTGCATCGTTAGTTTTAAGGAGTATTTTGGCAAATAAGATAGAAAATATACTGAATATCATGGTCAACTTATTAGTTAGCTAGACAGTGAATTATAAGGTTTTTGGTTGTCATACAATGTAATTTCCCTATATTCATCAGCTACATGACCGGTGGAATTCAATATAAACGTGGCGGTGGTTTATATAACAAGTAAAAAAAAACAACGTATAAAGCCAATACATTTCCGTGTATGCTATAAGATGATTGTTTTTCGAGTTATTTTTGGGTTCACCCTATTCCTAGGGTGAACCTCTAGGTTCACCATCCAATAATATTACATTATTTTATATTTGATATCTTTTTAAAATGGAAACAAAATCTTTTAAATTATATAATACCTTTAAAAATAAAAATACAAAAATAAGTAATAAATAATATTATTAATAAAAACGAAATTATTTTTTTTAAAAATATTTTAAAACTAAACCATAAACTCTAATCCTAAACCCTAAACCCTTGGATAAATCATAAACACTAAACCCTAAACTCTAATGCTAAATCCGTAACCCTTGGATAAATCATAAACACTAAAATTTTAAAACATTATAAGATTTATCCAAAGGTTTATGATTACACATGAGTTTAGGGTTTAGGATTAGAGTTTAGGGTTAGAGTTTAGGGTTTAGTTTTAAAATATTTTCTTTTAAAAGAATTATATTCTTTTTATTTATTATTATTTTTTATTTATTTATTTTGCATTTTATTTTAAAAACATAATATAACTTAATACGTTTTTGTTTCCTTTTTTAAAAGATATCAAATATGAAATAGTGTAATATTATTGGATGGTGAAACTAGAGATTCACCCTAGGAGGTGTACCCAAGAATTAGTGTTGTTTTTCAGTTAAGTCAGTTGGAATTAATTTTATTCTTCTATACCATGTTCTTGTTGTTGTTTATTTTTTACTAATTTTTTCATGTTCTTGTTGTTTCGTAAAGAAAAAATGTCAAAAAGCCAAAGTCGCGACTAATTCTCTTATTTTCACACCTAGGTATAGCGTTGGATGGAAAATTGAAAGACTTGTTTACTCCAAATCTTTGCAAGTTTCATTGGTAACAAGTAGTTAATTCAATGATATTGTAACCATTAAACAATAGAACGTCTATAAATTAGTATTCGATAAACTGATAATTTCTATAAGTTAGTAAATTTTGTCAGTTCTAACTTATATCAGTTCAAAATTTGACATAAGTCGATAAAATAATAAAATAATAATTTTAGAAAATTTTATGTAAATATATAGTCTTATTAAAATTTTTAAAATAATTTATATGTATATATTTTTTATATAAGTACAAAACCGATCATTAAATTGTTTGTTCTATATTCTCAATAGAATTATCTTTATATTTTCTAATATTTAATATATTTTGATGAAATTTAATAATATTATATCTAAAACCATATTTAAATTCTATGTAATATATATTATATACACTAAATTATATAATAAAATTAATACAAATGTAAAATTTCAAAAATATAATTAATGTCTATAGAATTAAATCAAATATTTATTCTTATATGAGAATAAACATATCTTAAAATAAAAATTCTAAATAAAAGAACTTTTATGAATTAAAAATCTCTATAAATTAATAAAATTTGAAAATTCCAACATTATTAATCTATAAGTTCTACTGTATTTAGTTGCAAACATCATATGAATTATGTCCTGTAAAACTAAATTACAAATACATGTCATTTTAAACAAATGACTAGATTTTGACCCACGCTTAAGAAGCGCGGGTTTTTTTTTGCTAACCGTAAAGCCAAATATTTCGGAATAGATATTTTGATTGGTTTTGATGGTGTTTTTAAATTTGATTGAGTTGATGGTAAAAGGGGTTCGAGATACCTTGTATTTATAAAATGAGAGGGTTGTTGTTCTATTATTTTATTTCAGTCTTGTAAAATTAAAAAAATGAATATGGTAAAAAGATCTTAAAATCAAAATATTGTTATTAACCCATTGAGAAGCGTGGATTCTATTTTTTGATTATGCACAAATGGGTACTTAATTTTTTAAATTAAAAAAAAAATAAACGAAATTAAATTAAACCAAATTTCATAAATAATCGATCATACCATATATCTCTAGAATA